AGGGGCGAATCGGCGAAGGGGGTTGTTTCCTCACTTCCAACCCCCAACGTCCCCTCGGTATTCAGAAAACCTGAAGGTCCGGTGAGGGTTAAAACGTTTCTCCTGAACGAGGAAGAAATGTAAAAGCCAAAGCTCTATAGACGTCCTGTAAAAGTGGCCATAATAATAAATTCGTTAGAAATAAGATGCTTTTTAAACGACTTCCTCATATAAAATCGGGTGCTGGGACCAATCTTATAAACGCTTTAGAATGGACAGGGCGTCACTGGCTAAAGTTTGGGTGCAGAAAACGGCTATTACCTAAATGCAAAATGGTTTTCATGCATTTCAGTCAATTGTATATTGTCGGTCCCAGTGGCCGAGCTAAAAAAATCGGTAGTGTTTTGCATCTTTTACGCCCTAAGAAACTACACCATCTATCGAAGTGGGTGGGCTTATTTGAATGGGAGGGCGCATTATGCACGAATCGAGTGCTTTCGTTTATTTTGGACTGTATTTTACCACATCCACTGCTGGTATCACTATTAATATTATCTAATGCCGTGAATACGACAGCATTCCATTTATAAGATTGGGCCAATGGAGTCGCGCCCCGCGAGCTCGGTTTTCCGCTGGGCCGCTACAGGCCAGGAAGTCGGGCTTCGCCTGAGGGCAGGACAAAGGTCAGCGAGGGAGCGCGGGGTCAGCCAGGTATCGCCAAGTGCCGAGCGGATGCCGCTCCCTCCCCTCTCTTCCCCTCTTCTCCCCTCCCCACCTCGGTATAGACGGGGAGGGACCGAACTGCCAATGACATGCGAGCGGTCAAGGCCGCTCGCGCGGCAGCGACCCTGGCGGCCGGGTGCCGCAACTGGGATTCAGCCAAGTTACCGATTCGCCTCCTGTGGGAGAGCCAAACCAGGGGACATACTTTTTAGATATACTGTACCGGCCTCTGAGGGATTTAAAGGGAGATAATGACCTTTTTCCACAAAATCTGAGTTAGGACCATTTTCTGACAAAACACAACAAGTTATAATGTAAATTAAAACCATTTTGCTCAATTCGGTACCTTGCCGCAAATATCTCAACTTGAAGTCACGTTAGCGGGGAGCGCTGAAAATGACCGTTGAATAAGTACTTACATCACTTTTTGGTACTTGCATGTAATTTTGCAAAATGAGCGTATTCCTTACATTTGATCTTCATCACATCTAGTTAGTTAATGGTCGTCTATAGTGCCTTCAAAAGATATTCATGGTTTGGGGGTGGTTTATGTCTAAATTTACGCAACTATTTTTCCTGTTCATCATCTGACGCCATATGCTGCTATTTTAGTAGCAACGACTCAATTTTGAATCGGTCCCACCGACTGCACAATAAAAGAAGATAGATACAACACTTTTGCGGCATCACTGAAAAACTTATGCAGTACTGTTATCAAAATTCTCATAACACCGTTCGACAAACCTGAAGTCTTTTTGAAATAAATATGCTTGTATTTTTCGCTTCAGGCTCTGACGCCAAAATAATGAATTTCGTAGTCGCAATCGCAAGATTTGGCTGCGTTTCTGGCGCATGCCGTTCATTTGTGGCGCAAAATAATACTTGGAAACAAAGAAGGGTAGGCACTATGTACCCCCGAATTAGAATCTAATTAATTCTAAACCGAATTAACTCTAATTCAAATTAGAATCCTTACAACCAAGCAACGACAAGGCGATAACATAAACAAAAACCCAAGCGTCGCTGTTTGAAACAAAAGCGCCATATACTGCGACTTTTTTATAGAGAAGGACAACGCATTTCGGTGGGTGTTACAAGTACTGCAAGTACTGCTTCTTTTTTGCAAAAATAAAAACCTTTTTCACATACGAAAATGTGCTAGGAAATTTTCATATTTTATAGAAAGTACAGTAGAAATAGTATAGATGTCGAGTAATTTTTATTTAAGAAAAAAGAAAGCTCATTATCTCCCTTTAAGCCAGCGCATTCATAGCTCCACACCAGCAATTGTAGGGGCTTCACACTGAAGTATCTGAGGGTTCCACACCGGTGTCTTTAACCCTAGAACGCCTAGGGGGGGGGGTTGTATCAACCCCCCCCCCCTGAGGTTTTTCGGAAATAGTGGAAAAACGGCGGCGCGCAGCGCCGCCAAATTTTGGGTACCTTGTGGGGCAAACCTTGCGCATCTTTTGATCAAAAAAATTTGACCGGGTCATGTCAGGTCACGGAGTTATGACGTCACAAAGGGAACAGCCTCCGGCCGGATTTTCACAAACTGAGTGCCAACGCCCGAGGTTTCCTGCCGGTGGTACGGACATCGGTTGATGGATCGTGATGAAACTTCCCATGCATGTTGGGGCAAGTATTGGCTATCATATGGTATAAGAAACTTGACCGGGTCAGGTCAGGTCACGGAGCTATGACGTCACAAGAGGAACAGCGTCCGGTACTATTTTTGAAAAGCGCCCGAACCACTATTTTGCTAATTCTTGTCACCTCAATGGGAATATGCAGCAATATTAGCTCCTATAGGGAGCAAATGGACATCCCAAATCCAAAAATACAATCAGATTTCAAAAATTTAAATTTTGATTTTTCGAATTTCTGCCGCCGACTGTGACCTTGCCGACTTCCGGCGCTCCCAACGCGCCATTTTTAGAGCTAGGGAAACGAAATACATACCAAACGATAGAGAATTGATCAAGGAACACGATAGTGAAGGTTTCAAGTCGATATCTCCCACCGTTTTGCCGCAATCGCCGCGAAAAATTTGGAAAAGTCTATTTTTCCGAAAATTTGACCTTTGACCGGTCAAAAGTAGGTCAAATGTTGACCTATGACCAAAAAATATACCACCAATCGCGAGATCTCGTTGAGAGCAATCCGTTGGTTTTTTCCGCTAAGCTCTACGACCTTCCGTTTCGAAACGCCAGGGGGGGGGGTTGTAACAACCCCCCCTGGTCGTTCGTGTTATGAGAAATGGCCTGGTCGTGCGAGGGTTAAGGGCCACATACCGGCATCTCTGAGCAGGGGCGGAGCTTCCTATACAGTTGGTGGGGCGTCTGCCCCACCAACTTGGTATTTTGCCCCACCAATAATCGTTTTTCCCCACCAACTTCAGCTGATTTCTAAGACTTTGTTACTTTGCAAATTAATCTTTTTCGCATTGAAGAGCTTTGTAATGTCTGTTTAATGCAAAATAATATGTCTGTAATGATAGGAATTGATTCAGTGTGACATTTTATTCAACTTTATAATCGGACATTGTGGGTTTGACGACTTTTTGCCCCACCGACTTCCCTGGAAAAAGCGCCACCTATGTCTCTGAGGGCCCCATACCGGCGTCTCCGAGGGTCCACATCTGGCGGGCACCCATCAGCGACTGAAGGTCCCACACTGTCGACTCCGAGAGCCCATCTGCGTCTGGGAGCACCATGCCGTCTCTAAGAACCACAGCGGCTCCTCCGTACGAAAGATGGGCGTCTGTATGCCAAAGGGGAGCGGTTCTGAGACAGTAGGGCACCTATGTGCAATAGCGGGGCGCCTATGAAGCCCATAGGGGCGCCTCAATGCGAAAGACTCTGAGGCCTACATATATGGGCGTCCACATGCAATAGAGGTCTGCAATGCATGGATCAATGCCATGGGGGTGCATTCATAAGAAACAGGGGCGCCGGCATGGCAAAGAAAGGCGCCTTCAAGTGTCCATAAAAGAGAGACGCCTATGATAAGCGCACATTGTATACGACAACGGGGCGACTGTGGGACATATAGGGATGTCTCTGATGACTATACATAGGGCGCTTATATGCCAAAGAGGGCGCCTATGAAGCTAATGGGGCACCTGGGAAATGAGGAAGACATTTGTGTAAGGATTTTCAGGGGTCATGCGCCGTTTGCGGCAAATAGATTCTAAAAAAAATCGGAGGGGGAATAAGTTTTAAAAATGGTGTGGACTTTCCGCACTGTTCGCAAGGGACCCTCCCACCTTCAAAAAAGTTTATGAATTGGCATGAAAGTGATGTCGCTCGGTTCAGAAAGAGCGAAAACGAATATCTACCAAATTTCACCGAAAAATATTCACCGGTTTTCAAGATATTAGACTTCTACTTTTGTTTACTTTTTGGGATCTCCGCTCTTCCTAGCGACTTTATTTGGAAGCAATAGTTTGGCAGCTGAAAGTGCGGCACTTGTTGCGCGCAAAGCAGCATATACCACCGCGTGCTACAAAACGTTTTAGTCAAACATTTAAAAATCGTTAGATATCTGCGCTGACGTCACACATTCAGAGGGGTATTGCTATGCATTAGCCCCTCTGAATCAAAATGCTGCAATTTTGAAATTCAATATTTCCGATTTCATTTCTCGATGTTGTGAGTGCCGAAACCGGTAATTGTGAGCCAGGGACCCCATTTTGACTATCTCAACTCAAATCTAATGTTAAGGTGGGAGGGTCCCTTTAAGCGGTTACGCCCCTGGGTACATCTGCCCGATCTCAGAAGCTAGATTTGGAGGTCATACTTGAAAGCAGCCAGCAGGACGAGGCAAAAGTTGGAGGCCCCTGAAAATAGGAGGCCCCCTGGAAAAGGAGGCCCCTTGACAGGGTGGCCCACCCACTTTTCATGACGTTCCTACGCCCGTGAAGGTGACCTATGACTTGAACTTTTGTATGAAGGTGTCAAATTGATGTCTCAAAAGACACTGAAAATTTGGTGGCGCTGCGCGCCGCCGTTTTCTCGCTATTCAAGAGAAACCACGGGGGTGGGGCAAAATAGCCCCCCATTAGGGCGCGGGTTAAATTGCCATGGCAGAGTTTTTTTTTTAGGTGGGTATCCGGTGCAGGAGAATGTAGGTAAACCGCAAGCTATCTATTTTAGGGATATTGCTGCAAGACCCTTCACCAATTATCATGAATTGGTAGCGCATTGGCTATGTTGTGTTCGTATGCCATTGTTTACCGTGTGTTACTGCATTTCATAGATGGCCCTATATAGCAGCATCTATTTATATTGTTTCAGTTGGCTGCAAAGGAGACAAACATGAGTTTTGGAAGTCCCGAAAGCAGCAAGGAGTTTCCTGGACTTTATGGTCACGAGAGACATTCTGGTAAGTGTGTGTTGCGACTCTGGCCGTGTTGTGACTCTGGCCGAGACGCTGTTTCTCCGCCAAGTCATCATATCGGTTCGGGTGTTGGCTGCTGTCGGCGACCGGATGATCGAAAGACCTCCCCGGCGTAGCTTGCCGCACACCATACCGCTGCATCGCGGATCGCTACCTCCCGCATCAGGACAGGGTCTGGTGCAAAAGAAGGAAGTCAAACGCAGACCAGCAACAAATATCAGTTCAGGTCAGGGCACACATAAATACATTTACAAAACTTTTTACATTTTAACAACACTTCCATGCAACTGCTTTTCAGTCTAAAATCATCAAAAACAGATCAGGATTCAGCGTGTACATTGGCCGCCTAGTTGTCCGGAACACATCTCATGTCCGCTCGACCGTGCCTGCCAGGCCCAGAGATCTGCTGCTCAGCCAGGGCCAAAGGCCAGCGACCGCGGTGCCTGTCGCCATGAACCCGGAACACGTCGCCCACATTGGGTAAATGGGTAGGTCTTCCTCGCGGCGACAGAGTCCAGGCACGCAACGCGGCCTGCTTCCAGCAGTCTGTCAAATGAGCATCGATACGACGATAGCGACGGCGCTGCCGCCGGACCCGATCAACTCTGTCATATCGAACCCCTCGATGTAGAGGCGCGACACCGTCTGAGGCCGGAGTCAGCTCCAAATCGGACGCAAGTCCGCAGTTGGCCACCGTCCGTCCTCCCCCCGGTTCAGTGATGGGTGGTTCCGTATGGGACGCCAGTCCGCAGTCTTGTCACCATCAGTCCTCCCCCCGGTTCGAGGACAGGACCAACCAGAATGTCCGTCATCTCGCCGTGATGTGGACCTACGCTCTCCTCGCCGAGTCTTCCAGCCGTCGTCCTCATGGCGAGATTCTCCGTCCTTCGGTACGGAAAATCCTCACATCTGTCAATGTGCATGTGACAGCCGTGCATCACGTAGCCGAAAACGGTGGCGACGGCCCGAAGTCCGTCACCTACATCGACCTGCTCCCACTGCACGATACGGTAGAGATTGTCTATGCCAATTAGCAGGTCAATTTCGCCTCCCTTAAAATCATCGGCCATCATCTCGGGCATCTGCCCGGGAACCCTCGAGAGGGACGGCACCGGGAGGGGAGAGCACACCCGTTCCGTGCTCCACAGGTCAATAGTCACATGTCCGTCATCGAACCGGCTGCTCAAATCGATCCTGACTCGGTCGTATTCCCGTGGCTCCTCGAGCTTCTCCTGAAAACCGATGCAGGAGAAGGTCCTGGTGCCAACGACCGGCAGTCCAAGCTCCTCTGCCAAGGAGCTGCGTATGTAAGAGGAATCTGGTCCCCCGTCCAAGAGAAGCCGAACCATTCGACTGTTCTGGGGATCACCGGCCCTGACCAGCGCTGTCTGGAAGAAGCAATTGCCAATGCTCCCCCCAACAGATTGGTAGCGATGCCGTCCAAAATTGAAATCACGTGATTCTGTCCTTGCCCCAGCCGTGCTGATTGGGACCGTTTCTGGCCTGAACAGAGCCACCGGCGGCCCTGTTTCCAAGTGGCCGTCCTGGGGCCTCACCTCTGCACCCCTCGGCCGCAGACCAGCCGGCGAGGGCCCATCTGCACCAGTCGTGGGTGCCACCCCAACACCAGGATTCTGCGGAGAATGGGCAGCGGAGTGGCGGTGCAGCAGGACGTGATGACTCCGTCCGCATTCGCTGCAGTCTCCAGCCCGGCAGCTTCGAGCGCCATGTCCCTCTATTAGGGAACAATAACAGGCCATTGATGCCGACGCAACTCTCTACCGAGCCTCAGGATCCATTTTCAAAAATGATCGGCACTGTGGGAGCGGGTGCGTCCCACTGCAGCAAGCAGGGCACAGTTCGTTTGAAGCGCGAGGCATGCGCTGTGCATTAAGGGTGGCAGCTACAGAGGCCGCGGAGTTTGGAGACTTTGAGGGAGCATCTGGTGCCGCTACACCTCTCGCATACTCCTGCACCCGTATCTCCTGCTGAAGGAACTCAAGAAAATCAGCGAACTGTGTTTTTCCCTGTCTTGCCCACTCAACTCGCCAGCTGTCTGGAAGCTTCTCTTTAACCATGGGCAGTAAGAGTGAAGAGAAGCTGTCTGATGTTACACCGCGTGAGTTTAAGGCTCTGGTGTGGGCGGCGATATGGTCCGTCAGTGACCGCAGGGCCCTCAGATCATTGGAGCGGACTGCAGGCATGTTCAAAAGCTCTCTCATGAGCGTCTCTCGGCAGAGCTCAGTGCTCACTTCGGTCAAACCTCTCTTTTAGAGCTGCCACAGCCTCGGCGTAGCCGTTGCCAGAGACTGGGATACCTTGAATGGCCTGGAGGGCTGCACCAGCTAAATGCGATTTCAGCACGACAAACTTCTGAACATCTTCGAAACCAGGATTCTGATGAACTGAGACCATAAACAACTCCCTAAACTCTGACCATTTCATGATGTTGCCACCGAAAACTGGGATTTTGACAGCCAGAGAGGATTTGAATTCAGAGTTCGCTGTCGAGTTCCCCGGCACAGGCACGCCCCTGGCCTCGGCAGCCTTCTCGAGGCGGGCTAGAACTCGAGAACTCAGAAATATCTCATCCTCCATCATCTGGATATGGCTGGTCTCATCAGATTGCCGTACATTATCAAGCTGAATTTGGGTGCCTTGAAGCTCGCCCAGCAACTTCTCGACATGGTGGATTTTCAATGCCAGCTGATCCTGATCCAAGGATCTTTGATCCTCCTGCCGAAAGGCCTTTAAATCGTTGCAGAGCTTTGTGGCCTTTGAGCGAAGTCTAGTCCTAGTGGCGATCAATTCCTCCATGACAGGCAATGTTCAGAATGGGAGTCTCATAAAACCAAGCAGTTACTGACCGACAATGACTGATCGAAAAATTCCAAAGGTACAGTTACATCCGGCCCGCGGAGGACTACGAGGACTACCACTCGTATGTTCCGACTCTGGCCGTGTATAAAAGTGTGGACTGTATTCAGACAAAACCTAAGACCGGATTAACTGTAAGTTTCAACCGACTACTTAAAGAAATGCGTTGAAGTGCCGCGAGGCGCGATATATTGTGATGATAAGCACAATCAACTACAACCCGTGACTAGCCACCCTTCAAACGACAATTGTCGGAGTTAAACAGCACTAGTTGACCTTACCGATATCCGATCCGGAAATACACTACACCACAAAGGCTCCAATTTGGGGTTGGCACAGGGCCGTCCCGCGCCGCCACCGACAGCCGACCCTCCACACTGAAAAAAATAATGACACCTAAAAGGGGTGTTTTTTTTAAGCGTACCAAAAACGCGCAGTTTTCTGGAGTCCGATTACACCCGGAATCAGACACTCTAGAGTATTATGACACTGGTTGAGGGTGTATTTTTATACCATGTGGCGTCAAATGATTCCCGGAATCGTACGCCTTATAAGATAAAAATACACCCCAAACCAGTGTCAATACTCTAGAAAGTGTCTGACTCCGGGTGTAATCGGACTCCAGTATAAGTCGAGGTCGATGGGTGATGGTTGCCAGCTGATTAATTTAACCCGCGAGTTGCTGGGGGGGGGGGCGTTAAACGCCCCCAATTTTTTTTTCGCTGGGCCATAGCATAAAAACGGCGCGCCGCAGGCGCGCCAAATTTTGGGTACCTGTAGGGAATTGATTGAAGCTTATTGTGACATAGTTTCAAAAAAATCGGTCGGAAAATTTTTGAGATATCGAGGTTTTAGTGACGTCATGATTTCTGAGTTTTCGACCAAAAACGGCATATGTTCAAAAAATCATATAAAATCACAGAATAGACATACAGACATGCCGTAAACGCCATTAGACTGCCAATACCATGAACAATCAAATGGCTATCTTCGATTATTGATTATCGTTCCGCATTTTCCAAAATCTTTAACTGAATCTTGTCAATTTCTCGTGACTACTTCACGACCATGATACATGTATTTCTTAAATTGAACTTTTTGAGCCAAACACGTACACATATGATAAAACGAATGCCACCATCGTGTTCTACGCCCCAAATTACCCATAAAACATGTGTCACAGGCTGCGAATATCAGTTTTGATTTTCGGGGATATGTGCCTGCCCGGTTGACCTGACCTTGACCCTGACCTATGCTTGACTGACCCCTACATGGAGCTTACACTCTTGTAGGCCTTATATGATGGATTGTGCACCGTTTTGACAGAGTTTATGACGAGAGGCGCCCATTGCGAAGTCCTGAAGTCCATGCTACTGAAAGCCCGATTTCAGCTGTTTGACCTGACCTTGACCCGACCTGTGACCTCAAAATTCAACTTAAAGGTACTCATCTGAAGCGTCTCGTCGCGTTCTTTCGTTTGCCGCCTCGTGCGTTTCGCTGCGCCTATTGGTTCTCGAGTTATCGGCTGGGGGCGTTTAACGCCCCCCCCCCCCCAGCAAACGGTGGGTGGCGAAATACCCCAGCAACTGCCGGGTTAATGAAACGCGAATAAATTCAACTTTTGTTTGATATTGCGAGTAAAAATGTGTTTGTTAATTTCAAATATCATTGAATTAGTTTTTGTGAATAAATTAACTACAAACGCCTCTGTGTAAAGTGTTTCAAGAATAAATCAAGGCTTATGAAAATCGTAAGGAGGCTTAGGAAAAGCAGGAAAAAGGATCACGTGATAAGTGTCCCTAGTGAAAAAAATCCTTAAGGACAGTCCTATGTATTTCTTCAGGACGATCCTTAACAAAATCCTTGTACGAAATTGATACACAATCCTTAAGGATTTTGTTAGAAATTCCTTAAGGATTCTGCGGAAAATCCGTAAGGATTTTTAGCTAAATCCTTAAGGATCTCTAGCAATGTCTTTAACCCGCGCACCGACGGGGGTCTGCGCCAACTTCGCACCGACGGGGGGGGGGGGGCGGATGACCGCCCCCCTGAGATCTCGAGAACGAAGGAAGATAGCGACAAGCGGTAAACGGCATCGGATACGCACG